TTTTTTTTTTTTTTTTTTTTTTTTTAACTTTATTATCACTTATTTATAATATATTTTTATTATTTTTTATATTTATAATTTCATTTTTTTAATTCAATCATTTTGAATATATTTATCCATATTTTTTTATATTTGTTATAGTTTGGGGATATAAAATTGCATAATTTACTAATAATAATTAATATTTATGGATATATGACTAATAATTTACATTACAGTTCTTGGATAATACCTACTTATATAAATTATGTTCTAGGTGTACATCATTGCGTAATATAAGAGATAATGATGAAAAAGATAGTGCTTTTAGAGGTATGTGTCAAATGATAAGTCTAAATCCTGGAGGAGTAGTTCAAGATTTTATATTTTTCTGTGATGCTATCGCTTCATGGATAAATCCTAAAGATGATCTAAAAGATATGTTTTATAAAGTAAATTACATATTTTATATATTTATAACTATGTGGTTAAATTTATTATTCTATACAATCTGTGGTTACTATAATTTCTAGATTTTACATGGCTTTAAAAACCAAGTTGGAGAAGAAAATTGGACAAGATTTACCGATCAATTTCCTCCACAGTTGAAGGAACGCCTATCAACTGCCTATGGAATCTAAGACAACTCTGTTAGTATTGTGATATTTCAGAAATAAAATTTACTAATTATGTATTCATTTTTATTAGGAAATTTGGGGCGCGACATGGGTGAATCCAGCGTTGCATCTCTTGGGGTTTTTTCAACAGGCTTCGTCTCAGACCTGGCACGTCTTGAAGATCGTGCGGGAGGGGAGGGAGGGGGGAAGAAAAAATAATAATACCTAACAAATTATTTTGTTTTTAACGTTCTACAGTTTGTTTTTTGTGATAATTTTTTCACAACCAAATTTCATCAATTTTAACAATTTAGTGGTTCAACTGTTTACATGATCAAATTTTATAAACTATTATTATTTGTCTTCAACAGTTGTTTGTTATTATTATTATTATTATTATTATTATTATTATTATTATTATTATTACTATTACTATCATTAATATTAATTATTAATTATATATATATATATATATATATATATATATATATATGTATATATATATATATATAACATACACACATTTACCCCACATATATATATTTTTATTTTATATTTGTAGAATGCTTTTAATAATGGGTATTTACTAAATATTGTTTTTGCAAATATCAGTTGTCCTATCAAACCAAAATACTTGAATAATACTAGTCGTCCATTTATGAATTCCTTTTTGGTGGGCTATTAAATTCCAAATGGAATTTGATCCTCCGTTATACATCATTAATTCCTTAAAGTTCCTTTATTACCAACATTCCAGAGTGGATCCCTCTTCCTTTCCTTATAAACATGACCATCATTTTGGGAAATAAGTATTTTGGAATTGACTTAATAATTTACTCATTTTTATTATTCACTGTTGTTTAAGATCACAAAGAAATCAGTCTCTAGTCTGATGTTTTATATAAATTATTTAGGTATGTATGAATTGTATTTTTTAGCTTAACATTATTATTAATTATTTGCTAATATAAACTGATTTTCATGAATATGACATCCTTTTTGTTTTAATTTACATTATATTTTAAGTTGAATACTTAGTTAATCTTATATAAAATATTATTTATGACTTCCAGGATTATTTTATTTAATTTATTATGAAAATCAGTAACCTATTTTTTTATATCAATTTGTATTTCATTAAATAAAATGTTTTCTTGTTAAAATTAAATTTTAGTGATATTATAAAGTAGCCAATTTTAATACATTATTAAAATCATTTTATGTGGTATTTATAATTTATTTAAATATTCCCAGTAGTAATGCTAACTGTTAGTTGAATATCTTATAAAACTATAACATTAAACATCTGGATAAAGAATTATTTCTATGACTCGCAAGATCCACAAATATACATTTCAAGGCTGATGTGAAAACCTTAATTTGAGGTCTAAATATTTTTTTCCTTAAGATAAATAAAATGTAAATTTCAATGTTGGTAATACGAGAGTAAGAAAAGTAATTCCTCGATTAGGTACTTTTATTAATGCCATTCTAAATATTTTTAATTTTAATAAATATATTTAGGTATAGATAGATTTATGAGTACTTACCTATTGTGTTTTGCATACATTTTAATTTTTAAACTAAGTATACTATTCCTAATAAATAAAACATTTATTTATTCATAATTTATATGTACGCCGAATGTTATGTTCAAAATATTAATTTTAACTATAATATATGTCACATGCATAGATCATAGATTTACATTTATTTCTCTATGTACCATACTGATCAGTATTTTTTTTAGTAAATTGGATTTTATTAAAAATCAAAATTACCTATTATTAAGTATTACTATTATAAATAATAATTCAAACGTGTTTTTATAATCCCTTATTGTTGACAGTAACTATAAAGTAAAATTAATTATAAATTATGTCTGCACTTGTAGATGGACAGTCCTCACTGACGTATAAATGTCATATTATAATAAGGCGGTTATTTTTTAATTTTCTCTATTAACGAGAAAATAAATAGAATATTAAATAAATATTAATAAAGAAAATGAATAATGCCTATTTAATTATTTTAACATAATATGACATATATTGTTAACAAAGCAACACTATCAACTGAATACCGTTTAGAATATTTTTTTTCCTTAGTAATGGTTTATCATTGCTTACAGATGTACCTTAAATTTCCTCACTGCCTTCCCAACTTCTCACCTACATCAGTTGCCCACCCATGTGCGAAGTATGTCCGTAATTTTTTAAAACAAATTGCTTTATCAAATTAAAAATGTATCTTATTTAATTTTTTAGTTTTAATTTAATCTTAAACCAGAATCTTATAGTGTATTAGGTAAATTATTTAATTGAATATTGTGTTTCTGTGATTGTAGAACCTGTTACAATATTATCTTAAAATATACTTATGCTATCTAGACTGGAAATTTCTCAATAGCTTTTTGGAACTCTCCCATCAAAGGTTTTATTCCGATCAGACTAATAACCATTTGTTGATATTCGTCTTTTCATCAATTTTCGAAAAATATTTAGAACCACAGATTTCTATATCAAAACATAAATTATCTATATTATGGCGTTTTTTCTAATATTTGAATTTGATATGACAGTTGATAATACAATCTTTTCGAAATTACACTGTGTAGTGAAAGTGAACCTATACTACTTTATGACCTATACAGTGTCAATTTTGAACCTTATATTATTATTATTAAAATTAATTCTGCTGTTAATGATTTTACAGCTCAATTTTGAGTACTTTCAATAATAAAAAACATGTATTAGAAAGATCGTAGTTATCTGTTTTGTCATTAACATCATGGCTGAATATAAATTTATCTTGCATTTTGTTGTTTTTCTTGAACTTACGTTACGGACTCTGTCCTTAACGTTTTAAGTTTGTTAAATATAAATTAATAATTCCACGTGACTAAACATAAAATCGGTCGTCACATTAAATGTACGCACGTAAAAGCCATTAATACGGGTGTGGTAAACCGACAACATTCCCATGCAATAACGGGTGATACGTATTCATGGGCCAAAGGAAAAACGTGTTCGAGTATGGACCACGTGCCACCAGTAGACAACGACGGCAGCGGTCACCATCACCTACCCTCCGATCGAGGTGACAAATATTTATAACGACCGTGATCACCGCCGACGCACGAGAAGGCGGAGCATTGTCACCTCGACACCAATCTGTTCAGTCATTTCTATGGTGTACTTATAATTGATAAATACAACTAAGTCTTCACCCGGGTCTGGTGTCGCAACGGCATTCACTCATAACCAATTTGTCAACTGTGTTTTGTTTAAATACTAATAAATACCATTTGTAGATTTAGACACACTTGTACATCTTCCCGTCAAAAGGCTGTGTCTCAACGGCTCGTAAGTAACGCTTACCTTTTTTTCAAACAGTAGACAAATGTCATTTTTCGCCGAAATTTTCGGGTTAGTTATTAGCTATTTATCTACCTACAATCCTTTTGAATTCGATTGGAACAGCCGCATACCACATACGATTCTTCAGATGTGTTGTTATTTTACTTGTATTGACCGGGTAGGTACTTTATTTGTTCCTCTGTAGTATTTCAGTTTTGGGCTTCTTTAATTTTTTCAGTGATTTTTATCGTAGGTAAGGTCCGTCGTCACTGACCAGAACATTTTCTAAAACGCGATTAACTAGCGTGCGATCGATTACCGTGGTTTTTTAACTTCCACGAATTCGATCGACTTACCAACGTATCGTAATCATAGTACACCAAGAGTGTGTACTTTTTAATATGCACCACCAGCCGTGAAATTTTCTAAGCTTTCTAAATATATAGGAAGGTCCGTCGCTACTGACCGGAACATTTTTCAAAACTTGATTAATTAGCGTGCGGTCGGTTACCGTGGTTTTTCGATGTCCGCGAATTCGGTCGACTTTCCAACGTCTCGTAGTCATAAAACACCAAGAGTTTGTGTTTTTTAATATTCACCACCGTATGTGAAATTTTCTAAGCTTTCTAAATATATAGGTAAGGTCCGTCGCCACTGACTGGAACGATACACAATTTGTATTCCACTGAGTAGTAACTATACGTAGTTCATGAGTAACGGTGAGTTATTTCTGAGTTTAGCTGCAAAATTATCTTTTCTCTGGATTTCATTAGATGTAACTGTATGAGATACATCACTGCTATCTATCGGTGTTATTACGGCCATTGAGTGCTTTGATTTACACATCATTACTCCTTTAATATCCCGGGTATAGGTAACTAGAAAGTACGACACTCATTTTTTATCAAACAGTCTTCTGCCTTTGGTCCTATAATTTCACACCCGTCTGTTTTCTAGGTCCGTTGCGATTTTTTATCAAGTTTGAATAAGTAACCACAATTTTTGATGCGTTTTTAAGAAGCTTTTAAATGTTACATTACTCGTTGCATTTTTAGTCAATCTTAATTTTAGGAGTGAAAAATCTCGACCCATTTTCAATTTTCTATTAGTAACCTTTTAAAAATTCCATAAATAGATGAAATTTTACATTTAATTTTGGATTAGTGAAAGTAACAGTGTGGTGTTTGAATAGTGACTACTCTTCCCTTACCAAATAATAAATGTGAAATGTTATGGAAATTGAAAATATTAAGACCAAAAATGTATTTAAACTTAGATTTAATCTATTTATGGAATTTTTAATATAGATTACTATTTTAAAATTAAGTGGGTAGTGGTTATATTCTCAAAAATAATGAATCATTTTAGAGCTGTATATCACTTAAATTTTCTAGAAAAAAAAAAAAACTGAAAGAAGTTAATACTTTCCACGATAATAGGTTGTGTTATTTTGACACCTGTAAATAATACATAATATATAATTTGGTTAAAATAGTAATAAATATATAAAGTGTTCAACTAAAGTATATAAATTCATACAAATATACACATTTAAACTTTCAAAGAAAATAATTTATTGTAACAAATAAAAAAAAAACAAAAAATTTTAATCTTAAATTATATTGTAGGTAGTATTTACTTGGACTACAAAATGTATTATTTTAGTTTCCAGAGTTACGATCTTAATGATTATATATTTAAATTTACTAGTCTACTTTAAATGTTAATGTTTACGTGATATTTTGTGAGTAAAAGTAATTAAATTAAATCAATAAAGTTTTATTTCATTAATAGTTATTATTGACTAGAGATGAGCCATAATCCATGAGGAACAAGAATGTTAGGGTAAAGTCACAAAGAATAAAAATATAAAATAATTATAATTATTAGTAATAAGTTGCTAAAAAAAAATATTAAATTGCCACATTCCATAGAAAAGTTAAAAGAACAATAATCTTAATAAATGACGCCTATAAAATAAAAAAAATATACAATTTTTTATGGCATATAAAAAAATAAAAAATAATTATTGATACTATTTGTTTTAACATATAGTGAAGAAAACAACTATTTTTAAAAATGAAACTAAATACCTAACCAATAATTGATCTAAGTAATGCTATACTGGCAATATATATTATCACTTAACAATTTAACATTTTTAGAAAATAATATATGTTCAATGATAATGCTTGAAAATTCTCCATTGCAGTATCATAATTTTCATCAAACTTGATTGATAAAAATGCATTTATTAAATAGATATAAAATATAGTATAGATATAGTCGTTATTACCATAGATAGCTAATAAGAGATATCATACACTTAAACAATGTAGTTGTTGTCTATTAGGAATTACAGTATTGCATTACTGAAGGCATATTAATATTCATTCATATAAAACTAGTTTTAGGCTTTAGTAAATAGTGCATGTATTATAGATAGATATGGTCACTTTTTTTTCCAAACCTGTACATCACTATTAACATATCCAACAACTAATGTATCGTTTTGGTAGTCAATCTGAAAATGAATTACATTTTTTAGTTAAAAATAATATGTATTATCTTTCAATTAACTTACTGAAGAGATTTCTGAACCAGTTTCTTTAATTTCGGCAATAACTTTTGGTGGATTTGTCGGAGTTAAAATGTAAATAATTCCTTCATTACCTCCAGTTATAATACTACCATAATTTGTGCATTTGATGCAATTAATTTTATAGCGTCTTGCAGTTTTGTTTGCAGGTCTTACAAACTCCACAGTCTGAAGAAATTTAAAAATCAAAGGTAGATATTTTAATTTAATATTTAAAATTAAAAAACAAACACATACCTCTAAAATATTAAATAACCCACGAGAACAGTCCAACCAGTACATATGGTTTTTACTGTCACCAATAAATAGTACATTTTCATAGTAGGAAGCACACATTGGAATTCTACCGCCATGCTAAGTGTTATACATGTAAAACAATTAAAAACTAATTTGATTGACTAATAGGAGTTTCTTTTACTTTAACTAAATTAATTGATTTAACAGTTGAGTGTGTACGCAAATCCCAAATAGCTAAAGTTTTGTCTTCACTCAGTGATACCAAATAATAATCTTGTATTAAACACAAATCAATAATACTACGTGAATGAAGGATTAGTTCAAATAAACGTTTTTGACATTCTCGAGGATCGTAGGCTATAACTTTACGTGTATAAAGTCCAGCAGCAATAAAATTCTCTTTACTTGTCATTGACAATATTGCAGAGTCACCACTGTATTATAAATAAAATAAATTGTGTTAGAACTATATTATTACAGAAAAACATAAAAAATGAATGTACCGTAATGTCTGTAATGGGTTTGCTTTTTTTGAGAAATTCTTCATATTCCATAATTTGATATTCGAATCCCATGAACAAGAAAGGAAATGATTTTCATCATACATTCTCAAACCCCATATCCAACCGGTATGGCTATTTGCTTTGTGCACTATAGGGTTGGTGACTGTACCTGTAGTGTTCCAGATACATATGGAACGGTCTCTTGATGCAGATATACAACGATTACTGTCCTGTGAATATAATATGTACTATTGGTAAGACAGCAAGGTGCAAGTTTTTTATTATTAAAATAAAATCAATTACCTCAGTCAAAATGAGGGCATCCACTTCAGAGAAATGAGCTCCCTTGAAAATGGTACTTGTAGTATTAGCCTTGTAATTGCTCCAACAATCATTTTCCAATTCTGTATGCCAGGCAAATTGCCTCCAGTTAAATACACTTGCTGCAAAATTTGAGTAATTTAAGATAAAGTGAGATGAAGGTACCAATATTATTTTCTTTAACTAGTGACTACCATTTAGGTAACCTTACAATTATAAGTGTCCGTCCTCATGAACGCTACTTCACAATCATTGAAATTTTGCATTACTCGTTTTTTCCATAAATAAACATCGCTTATTATATCGTAGAACTGTTTATTAACATATATTAGTGACCGTACCAATGTATTAGCATCAATGTGATCACAAATCATAAGTAATATCTGGAGTAGAATAAAATGATACAAGTTATTACCTTATTCAGTAACGTATTCGCCTACATCATTATTTTACTTACTTCAATTGGTAGAGAGTCCAGTGAAGCTAATCTTTCGACTCTTCCAATTTGCCTGTCTTTGGTCGAACTCATATCTATTTCAATCGTCTGCCCTGGTTTACAAGACAGTTGAGAGTTCAAACACCGTCGTTGTGGGACCTAGCAAATTGGTACTTAGGTACTTATGAAAGGTCCTTAGATGCGAGTAATGTTGATAAGCATAAAAAAAGAAATAAGTGGATAAGTACTAACACAGAATGATATTTTGTAATATTTATTCACTTTTATCCTTTGTTGACAAATGTTTGTTATTATTATTGTTTTTATCCAGTTCGAGTATATGTAACATATGATCGTTGTGAGAGCCATAGACCTTCTAGAGCTGTGTATGTTTGCGTCACGGTCAATATAGAGGGCGCTTTTAAATGACTAATGTACGATAATAAAATTACTTTGTTCTTATCACTTTATTTTATCCTGTGTGTAATGTGCCATCCAAGGTGTATTGATAAGATGTCGTCACTTGTTTGAAAACTTGATTGACAATTTTAAAATACACATGAAACTATACAAAATATTCATTGTACAGCAAAAAATCTAGATCTAACATGCAATAAAAAAAAGGTTTCTTGTTATTTTTCAATTGGAGAATTGGAATTCTGGTTGAAAACGTGTTCACAGAATAAAAAACAAAAAAAGAATTAAACATCATTGAAAAACAAATAAATTACTACTTCACTCAAAATCTATTTTATTATTTAAGCCTCCAGAGGTAATATATATTTTTTTTTTAATTGTTTATTATATCATCGGTTTACTTTATATTCTTTTACTATTTATTATTTAATATAGGTACATTTTACTCAATGTATACAGAAATATTCTAAATCATTGAACAAAAAAAAAAACACTATTTGAATGTTACATAGGTACCTAGTTCAGGAATTTATACAGATCAACGTTTTATTATTTTTTTTATATTTATACTGTTTGTAACAGGAAATTATTGAAGTTTGGAATGAAAACATTCCACGAGCCTATCTGCAAAAGATCATGCTTGTGAATTGCATTTTATCGATGACTGTTTTATAAGGCGAAAGGCTTTAAAGGGACCTGATGGGAAAGATATTCAATATGAATTTTGTAAGCCTGTATTAAGAGCAGATGCATTTCCTACCATTTTCCCAATTTACTTTACTATTTAAGTAAGTAAACAATAAAAAGATAGCCACCTAAAATGAGAATCATTTTAGCAAAAAAAAAAAAACTAAACTACAACTAACTGAAGTACATAAGTATATTAGAAAATACAAAGTTATAAAATAAATATAGAAATAGAAATAAATAAATGAATGAATGCGTTGCCTGGAGTATTATAATAAGTATATTCCGGTTTTGAATTAAAAATTCATCATTAGGTATAGTGCAGTCAAAATGTAAAACGTGACAATCATTCATTTATTAATTTTTTATTTTTATATACAGAATAATAAAAATCCTATACGAAATTTTAGATTATAAAATAAACAATATTAATCAATATAGCCATATTGATGTTAAATTTTTAAGTTTCATAAATAAACCTCATATAATTTATAATAATTTTTTTGTAAGACATGTAATGATTTTATATTTGTTTATGAAATGTATTATGCGATTTTTTTTTTAAGACATTATCATCATCAGTTTGAGTACGTTTAATATATGAAATAATAGTTTAATAATAATTATAAACATCTAATCCATAATATAGCATAAGTATACACTTACTGACATTTGAACTTTTTTTTACCGTGCAGGAACTTACGTGTATAATTTTTCTACCTTATAGGAACTAACATACGCATCTTATGTTTACTATATAGGAACTTGCGTATGTAACTTTTTATATTCGTGTAGTAATTATCGCATCACATTTGTAGGAATTAACGTATGTACCAAATTGTTTACTTGCTACTCTCGTGTAGGAACTTATTATTCCCCACATACCTAACCACTATACGCTCGTTAGATGCTACCTCGTCGTTTGGCCGGTATATAAGTCACGTTTTCGTTTTGGTGTACGCGCGTAATCGGCGTCATCAATTTTGTCATTGATTAATATATAGTACCATAATGATTAGAAATCTCACATTAAAATCGAACGGGTACCCAATACAATTCCACTGTGGCTAATCTATATCTATCTCTTCAAATCCGTATCATTTTACTACAAAAAAAGTAGGTAGGTTGGGAATTCAAAAATTAACAAAATAAGTTGAGCTCATAAAAATATATTATATATACACAAGTGGTTTAAATGAAATAAGTAGGCAAATAAATATAATAATATAAATTATACAAAGTTTACAATATTTTGTGACACAACAATACAATTGCCTTAAAATTTGATACTTGAACGAAAAATCATTTGTACTTTAAATCAGTCTCATGCATAAAATATAAATCACATAATTCATTAGTATTAACTACATAAATTCCAACTATATAAGATGAAATTGATTTGTTCTTAGGCATTATAATGTATTGTATAGTACCAAATGAATATTCTTAACATAGAAAATACTTATTTTTTTCTTTTTGGGTTTTATTTGTCAAAAACGTAAAGTTTGGATGTAATTTTAACATTATTATTAAACACCACGGTGATTGGCTCTAGATACTAGTTTTTAATCAGACCAATAAAATATTTTTAGAATATAGGGAGTTAAATTATTAATTTTATAAATATTATTATCAATACAACTACAATACACTACGCAATACTCATATCAACACAATTATATTATTATTCCCTACAAATATCGTGTAAAACTGATAAAATCTTTTCTGAATTCAACCCAACAAATTTTAAATTGTTAAACATCGACAATTTTGTATCGTTAGAATTACTAATTACTAATCGTTTTTATTTTAGTGTAATGCTGTTTTTAGTAGTTATTATCAATATCTTAAATTATTTCTTATAATAAAAATGGATTATAATTTGTGTGGTCTGTTCCAGTAATCGGTACTGATCAACATATTTGAAGTTGTATAAGTATCAGTATGTTAATATAGATAATATCGACATTGTAGATGCATTCAAAATAAAGTCATAAAAAAAATAAAAAAATAAAAATAATATTAGGGATGTCCAAAAAACTCTAGATAACATGCAATGTGATTACTTACCGATTCTAATACAATAATAACTGTATGGAGTGATACACTTAACGTCAAGTTTCACCACATCATTGTTTTGTTTGATTGCAGCTCGTAACGTATACAGTATTATACGGAGGGAGGGCCAGTCTATTAGTATAAGTTACGGTTGTAGATAGAACCGTGATCTATAACCGTAGTAGGTATAAGGTTTAGAGTGAGAATTAAAATTTGCAATTATGAGAAACATATAGAAAGCTTGTCGATAACACAACGTTACTCTTTTAATAAGTATTGAACCACTGCTATAGTGATAGTTAGATAGATGGCAGCACTATTTCAATTTACAAAAAAAAAAACTCACGTTTTATTTTGTCCATATTTCAACCACGATAAAATATTACATTTATTTATTTTAACTACGTACATAATCATGTTTTATATAGATATCAATAAATTGTAGATCGGGGGGGGGGCAGTGAGACACGTTGATATACTGTTTTATTAATTTCTGAGAAATTAGCTGTAACAGAAATTATACTTGTCCAATCGTGATAAAACAGACATTTTGAATATCGAGTACCGATCTACATAATATACTCAGGCTTAGAAATATCGATGTTCTGTGCAGCCATTTTTGCAAGGCCTCAATAAGCTTTTTTTTTTCCTTTTTTATTTTCTAATACTAATTGTAGATAAATCTTGAAAATACAATTATTCCTATTCTAGAGCACTGGGCTAGAATTAATGCTGGTAAAGTCTTTTAGTATACTAAAGTTATCTTAAAATGTCACTTTCTATGATTTTATATATAGTTTTTTGAATAATCGAGAAAAGCCGAAAAAAACGTAAGAGGAACGAGACAGTAAGTTTAAGAAAATAATGGTTTTATTATTTTAAATTTTGTTTTTGATGTAATTCAGTTAAAAACATTCTAAGGAACTTGACATTTTTGACAGGAAACTTATATTCAACCTTTCATAGTTTTTAAAGGTATTTTGGCCATTTTTGAGTTATTTATCGGCATTTAATTTTTCCGTTTAGTTTTGTACGTAGTTTTTATTTGGTCCCTACTTAGATACTACGTAGGTACAACTATTTGATTGAAAGAAATGCTTGACAGTTTAAGAGGTTCATTCTAAGACGAAATTTCCTTTTCATTTGCTTCATCACATAATATTTAATTTATGTTTTCGAGTTTTATATCTTAAGAATATAACATTTTGTATTATAGCTGATATTAAAAAAGTTTCTGTCGTCCAATAAAGTTTAAAATACGATCAATATTTCTGATATTGAAATTTGTTTGCGACCCAACATGGAAGTTTCAGGTTTATTAGGCCTATATAATTATTCATTAAAAATTTATTAACGAAAAACAGATTTCTAGTGTGTACACAATAATGTAAATTAATAATTTCATAAACTTACAGTTGAGTTTTCACTTTTTGCAATGTTATAAATTTAAAACTTTTGTATTTTATTTTGGTACCTAGTACATTATCTTAGTCATTCAATACAAATGGTTTATTGCACTACTATTATTGATGTGCATAGCAAATCTTAAAATAACTAATTTTAAAGAACTACGGAAAGCTCGCAAACTTCATTAAGTTATAACAGTATAACTTACATAGTATAATCTAATTATATAATACACGAGTATAACACGAGATGGCTATGTAACAAATAATTATCAAATTATTGAAAACAAGTGAGAAAAGTAACTACAATTTACAATTAAGTGACTAAAAAATTACTTCTATACAAAAAAGAGTAGCCTACATTAACAAAAAATACACTTATTTAATATCAATAGTAGTAGTTTATAATAGGTAGTAGTATAGTAGGTAATAATTATAATATTATGATAGGTTAGGATTGATATAATGGTATGATAGGTTAAGACTTATTAATGAGTTCAGTGGAAATTTAAAGATAAATAACAACTTTAATTATAACTGAAAGTCTAAATCAATTGTTTAAAAATATGCCAGTCTTTGGTAGTATTAGGTTAAACTTGTATAAGACATTAAATTTTTTTTTCACCACATAGCAAATTATAAAAATATAAGTTTCCAATATCTTATAATAAATATTAATATAATAATAATTGTTTATAAAATTGTATGAGAATACCTAAAAAGTGACGTTAAGTGACTAATTTCCATCCCTATATGTAGGCTGAAATATTTTCATTAATTTAATATAATTATAAATGTGGTTAAAAAAAAAATTTGA